TTAATTATTTTTATTCAATATTAAGATATAAAAATACACATAGCAATAAACAATATCGATCTTATTTGGAATAAAAATACTGTACACACGATGTACCGTTGATGAGACGATTTATCTTTTATAGAATTATAGAAAATGAACTTTATTATTAACTGATATAATTAAAAATTAATATTTATGTACCATGGCATATTTACTGATAATAAAGTTTAAATAATAAATAATAAATTTAGAAGAAAATTAAACAATTTTATAGTAATAATTAATTAAATTTTTTTTTAAAATACCTAAATTTGATTTATGTTCTTATTTATGTTACACCTGATTAAAACAAGAAAAAGAAAGAAAGCAAAAATAATAGATAAAAGAAAAAGAAAGTGACATATTTATGTCAAATAAAAATAATATGAAATATTAAACTTTGTAACTTCGAATTAGTGAATTTACTAATGAAAAGATATTTATGTGTGTATGTTAAATATATCGTACTTGCTTTTCAATGTAAATAATTGTATTACATCAGATTTTAAAGGTATCATCGAGATACAATTAATATAAGTTGTGCTACAAGACTGAGACTAAAGCAAAGTGTTTACAGCACCACGATTTAAACTGAAGTAATTAATATCTTAATGCATTTACAGTTCACAATAAATTTTTCTGTATATCCAACATTGCGACTAATCATTTCAGATATAAAAAATTAAAAGGCAGTATTATAAATGTAAAGTATAATTATACATGTTGGTAATTGTTTTATAGTTCAGGAGATTGGTTTTCCTTTAATATTCATTACTTTAATTTCTGTACGCATATCAGTAACAAATATATCATATGCGTTATTTACTATAATGTATAGGTACATGTAATTATATAACATCTAAAGCCAAGCTCCTGTAATATACACAACATTTTGAGGCACTTAAACGTGTGCTCAAAGACCATGTTTCAGACAACTCTTATATTACTTGCCAAAGCATAATCCTAAATTGTATGTTATCTTATGTAACAGTAATATTAAAAAGAAAAGTCAGTGCCGTAAATAGGTGCCTAAACATGTCACAACAATTATCTTTTTCTTTTCATTTGAGGTGAATACAAAACTAAAATCTATTTAATATCATTTCCAGAATATCAATAACAACAGGTAATTCATTAATTTTTATTTACTTGTAATTTAAAACAAAATTAATTTTAAAACAAAGATTTTAAAGCTTCTAGTAGAGACTAGAATGTATTTGAGGCAACAGGGAATGTTATATTTTCAAAGTATGCTAATATTCTAATTTAATTTTCCTGCTTCATATTATTTTTTGTTTTGTATGTATCATGTCTTAAAAACTACCAATAATCTTCTGAATAAATTTTACCGAATTTATACTTTTATTATATAATATTATAGTTATAGTATTATAAAATAAATAATTACTTTAGTTTGTATTTTCTAATATATTCGATAAGTATAATAAACTAAATGCTTTTGTTAATAATAAAAATGATGAAAAATATTAATTATTAAGCATGTATACGCATAATAAAGAAAATATAATATCAACTTTTAATTCATGCGTAAAATGATACCACTTCATTTTAGACACTCTATTACTTATAGAATGATTACAAAATGTTTGACTTTTTTGTTAGTGTTAAATATAGTGACAAAATAAAATTTTACTAGTATGCTGTTATGATAGATTTAAAAACTATGATAAATTTTAATAATCTTTGTTTTTCCTCAATTAAAGTATTTTAACATATATTACCATATGCAATAGTAGTGAGACCATGAATAAAATATATTTCATCAGTAGAGCACTTTTAATTTTTTCTTTCATTTTGAATTTTTACATTTTACATAGAAATAAAAACTCAGATGATAGGGTAAATTTTTCATTTGTATACTAACTGTTTACATTTTGATGTCATTCATTATAATTGTCATTAATATTCTGGAAAATATGCAAATCTTGCCTACAAATAATGTAAATGAAATATAGAAAATTACAAGAAAACAGAAATTATTCTTTTTTTTTCAAATTAAGCATCCATATGATTTATCTGTTTTAAAAATTACATTCTTTTTTTCTTTTTTCTTTTTTTTTTTTTAATCAGAATTCTGTTTGAGAATAAATTTCGTTGCACTCTGAACATTCATTAAGCTGTACGCACATAGCAAGGTTTGGCACAAAGATAAACATTTCCCAGTTACGGCCCTGTGCTATGAAAGGGGAGAGGAGAAAGGAATTAAAAGATTAATACCTTAGTTTAACATTTTTACAAGCTAACAAATATGTACCTCCAAAATCACAGAACCAAAGCAATAACAATACTCTTCTACACAATGTATTATCCTGCCAGCAAACGTATTTTTTTTTTTTAAATATGCAGCGAATTAGAGTTTCTTCAAACAATTTTTTTTATGTTTCATAGTTAATTGATACCACATTCATTGTAGGCGAAGTCACTGTACAATGTAAAAAGTTTTCTTCATACCCACTATATCCAGTGTAGGATAAAAGCAGTGGTACATAATCCATATAATCCAGATGAAGAATAACAGCTAAATATTGAAATTCACTGCGATTGTATCTGCAATAATATTTGTTTCACTATCTCTTTAACATTATATATTATTTAAAATTTTGTTTAGAATTTTTGGATAGTATTAACTGATAAAATAAAAATAAAAATTAATAAAAATTAAATAACTAACAAAAAAGATTTTTACTTACATATTGATTTACACATTTCCATCCCTTTCATCTGTCTTATGTTTTGTACAAGGTAGTTCGCGACAGTGTTGTGCTACTTGGGCATAACTCGGTCTTGTAAGATCCTATAATGAAAAATATATATTACAAACTGAAATCCCACTTATATAAACACAAAATGTTCTATATAACACGATCTTAAAAATTTTATTTGGTTAATGGTGGTTATTAACTATAATCATTTTTTAAATAATTATGAAAGTTATATATATCAATGCTAAATTGCTAAATTCCTATATGCTATTAGTAAAAATAAAACAATATTTATGTTTCTAAATTATTTTAGTAAGATATTTTTACACTTTTTACATTAATTTTTCAATACTATTTGTCTAACTATAGTATTATATAATGAAGTATTACATATATTGTTATACAATTTATTTTGGAAGAAAAATGTACAAATTATATATAATATATAAACAGGAATATACTTACAACAGGGAAAGTAGAAGACACTCCCACTTGAGATTGGGAATTTTGTGAGGCAGTAGAGACATTACATTCACACCTAGATACTTGTTCAGAATCTTCCACTGTGTGTGCATTTGAAACAGCCTCGTCCACTCCGTTCACCATGTTCGAATCGTCAGTCTTTACAGATCTGTCAGCGGTGCATTTCAATAATAAAGGACTAAACCTGAACGTGCATAAGTATAATAGACATATATTCAATACATATTAAACAATTATGACTGTGCACCTTAAAGTACCATGCACAAATATAAAACAGCCACTATTATATACATTTCATCCACAAAAAAAAAAAAAATTTATCACTACATAGTTAAGGGAATGGGTCTTGCACAATTGCAAAACTTATTTAATGAACCATGTATACACATTATTTATTTACTTTCACTGACAATGAATCTATAGTCATTCATTGATAATGAACCATGCCTTTTATTATATTCATGTGCCAAATATTACATCTTAACTTTATATTAAAAATTAAGAATTTAATTGAAATGCATCTAAAAATAATTTGAAAATGAACAGTTAATAATTGTAATGTAATATAATATAATATATAATAAAGTATAATATAATATATTATGATAAAATGTGATCTAAGATAATATAACATAACATAATATTATAATAATGAATGATAATAACAGTATTAGCAATAGCAGTAGCAGCAATAGCAGTAATATTAGTAGTATTGACAGTGACAGTAACATTAGTAGTAGTAGTAGTACTAGTAGTAGTAATAGTTGGTGGTGATAGTGGTAGTGTTTGTGATTGTGGTAGTGGTGGTGGTGATAATCGAGGTAGTTATGGTAGTTGTAATAGTGTGGTAACGGTAGTGTAGCAGTAGTGATTGAGGAAGAGGCAGTGGTAGTGGTAGTGGTAGTGGTAGTGGTAGTGGTAGTGGTGGTAGTGGTGGTAGTGGTGGTAGTGGTGGTAGTGGTGGTAGTGGTGGTAGTGGTGGCGGTGACGGTGGTGGTGGAGGTGGAGGTGGAGGTGGAGGTGGAGGTGGAGGTGGAGGTGGAG